ATACGCCCAGAGTCACGGAACGGATTAAGTTTGTATCCCGAGGTACCACTGTATACATATTCACTCTCTCTCTCTCCTTAAAATATTTTGAGGAAAACATTAAAAAAGCAAAGGAAACAAACAAAAAATTAGAAAAAGGGTATGCTGGTAGTCCCCCTCTCTTTCGCAGTATTGATGTCTAAGCAAAAAGGAACTACCAGCAGACATGGCTAAATCATATGCATGAATGTGCCTTGAAATGTGCAAGACTGAGAATAACAAACTCATTTTAACCATCCATTGAGGTGATTAATAATTTTTTTTTGTTAAATTAATCTTGTTTCAGATTGTAAGAAAGATATTTGGTGTTCTATAAAATCTGAGACCATTAGTTTTTTAATATATAATTATCTATTCCAATTTTCATGTAGATTATCCAAAAATATTTTGTAACATCTATTAATATTATTGGAGTATTTGTTTATTTTAGGCTATGTTGTATGTGGTTGAGTAGTGCTGGAGCTTGCTTTCCAGTTTTAGCCACTGTATAATATTTAATCTTTGACCATAACTTTCACCTTCCAATGTTTTTTTACATGTTAACATATTTAAACTCATTTTCCTAGCTTCGCTGCTGGAAGGACTCTGAAATTTCCCCATATCTGTTGTTGTATATAACTTTTTGCAGAAAAGTATAAGTATACAACTCGCCCAGAGCCGTTTCAATGAGATGTGTGGTGACAAATTTGATATATAAATAAATATATATATGAAATCCCTAATTAAGTTCTTTCCTCTCTGTTCCAGATTTAATACAAAGGTATTTAAGCAATATTGGGTAAAACTGTCATGGGAAAAGTGGTCTGAAGGCACCCTTCTCACCCAAAGGCATTAGAATAGTTACTGCCAAATTACACAATGGAAAAAAAAATTAAATTTATAGAATAATCATGTTAGCGTACTAAATTAAAATTAAACCAACTTTGTTTGTCCTTTGTTGCTCATTTCTTAAAATATTACCTCTGAGTTTAAAGAAAAAGTTTTATATCCCTGCTTTAACAATATCACAGATTTGCATGAAACATATAATTCATTGTTAGTTATTCAAACTCTGGATGCCAGACTACAACATTTTTTTGCATAATATTTTTATTTATTTTATTTATATATCAAATTTATATCACTGCCCAACTCCCCCATAAGGAGGAATTCTGGGTGGTTCACAACAAAACAATTTAAAATCAGTAAAAACATAAATAATACAAATATAAAATACAATTATTAAATACTATAAAATCCAAGAGATGATGAAATTATTTCAGCCTGTGACCAGATAATATCGGTCAAAGGTAAGATTAGGGAACCAGCCAACCCCAAAACTGACTATTCCCATCCCTACCCCATGCGTGATGACAAAACCAGGTCTTCAGTTTTTTTATGAAGTCTAAAAGGGAGGGAGCCAACCTCACTTCTGGGGGAAGAGTGTTCCAAAGGGCAGGGGCTACTGCAGAGAAGGCTTGCCTCCTGGACCCTGTCAGATGAAATTCTCTTGCAGACGGGGTCTGTAGCATACCCTCTCTGCATGACCAGGTGGAGTGGGTTGATGTAACGGGGATGAGATGGTCCTTCAGG